TAAATCTTAAATGATAATTTTATGTTTTATTAAAATAAAATAGTTTTAAAAAATTATATAAATAAAATTAAAAAATTTATTATTTTTTACAATTACAAATTATAGTAATTAAAAATATTTTTTAAGTTCTTTTTAAATTAAAAGCATTTTCAATATTTCTTTAATAAAATGATTTGATTATATCATTATACTCATGTATTACAATTAATGATAAAATCAATAAAATTATTAACTTAAACATGCTTTTTTACCGATTTACATTAACTTTATTTTAATAATCTTTGCTATGCCCTAATAAGAAATCTTTCAAAGATAAAAATCATTCAAATATAACTTTCAATACCATTTCCTTTAATGATTTTATGAATTTGCAACTTTTTTTGTAATAGTATAACTAACTATTGACATTTAATGAAGTTGTTATATAATAATAAAAAGTAAATATTTATTTTTTTACTTTAATATTTATAATATTTATTGCTTATGTATACTCTATTAGTTGTAAATCATTTAAAAAAAGGTGATTTATTCCTTTTTGAATATTTATCGAAATAAGTAAATTTATGATATTTTTTCAGTCAATCAGATTATGTATTAGTTTATTAATTAAAGTGCTTGAGAACACTTTAAATTTATTATATTTTAAAAAAAAATATGTGCATGCAATATTAATATTTGATGGTTTATTTTATTTGTTTTTTTTTAGTATAGAAAAAAGGGAAGTTTGTCTATAAAAATTGATAATTATTATAGGGATGGAATATTTAGATTATTATAAGTTGATTTAAAAAAAAAGAGAATAATCACAAAAAAAAGAAACTAGTTCAGTAAAACTTTTCCATTATATCTATTTCTATATTTTTAATATATTTTTAATAGTTTTAATTTTTATGGTATCAAAAGGATTTTGTCATATTTCTTATTATTATGATATATAAAATTAAATGAAGATAATTACCCCGCCATTTATAGTAAGAGCTTCATCTATTTTTTTGGCATCATACTTTGTCTTTAAAACTTTCTTCAAACATTCGATCCCTTCTTCACGACCTCTTGCCGTTGCATCTTCCGGATTAAATTTACTCGGATCGGAGAAAGTATTAATCATTTTCATCAAGACATTAGCTCTGCTAGGAAAGCCTCTGTATGATACGACCAGTGAAGAGAATATTGCAGTACTTCCTTCGGATGCGATTTCAAGATATTGGCGAACAGAATCTTGAATTCCTGGTTCAAAAAGGGAATCTAGAGCAAAAAAAAAACCAATTTAAAATTAAATCAAAAAATATTTAAATATCATACCATACATTCGCTAACCTGGCCTTAGAACTTTTTTTATAGCATCGTGATTAGGGTCTATCGGGTTGATATCGAAGGACATTACATTATACTCCATCAAAAAACTTGCCATAAAACCAATAAATTCACGTTCGGTGCCATCAAACTAGAAAAAAAAAAATTCATTCATTATATTATAACGCGTTCTTTTGTATAAAAAAAAGAAAATAAGGAAAAGGGAAAAAGGGAAAATATTATTTACATTAACTCCTAATTTTGCTTTTAAAAAATCGGTTACTTCAGGTTCATCGCGAAGTAGTTTTTGATTTTGATAAAAATTATCAAACATATTTAACTAGTGTTAATGAAAGTAGCGAAACCGTTTTTATTTTTTGTAATTATTTTTAATCAATTTGACCACTGATGTTACACAATTATTTATATTAAGTTTACATAACGTATATCAAAAATGATCGGTAAAATGGTAACATTAATTTTTTACTAAGTATCGAAAAACTTTACATAACTTTTCTTAACATATTTAATTTCGTTTGCCATTCTCTGATCCAGTCTGATCCAGTCTGTAAAAAAATATCTAACAGGATAGAAAGTTTTATATTTAGGAAGGAACAACTTGTTTTGCCCAACTTTCTAAAACATTCTTCTATTGTTATTTATTGTTTTATGCAAGGAGATTTCAAAGATCTTTTAGTTTGAAAAGGTCGTCTTATGAATAAAGTTTTAATGTAAAAGTTATGGCATATAATATAAAATATTATACCATATTTTATTGTCACAACTCGTTCAATTCGGATCGGATTGACCGAAAAATTTATAGCTAATCAGGTCGTAGCACAATTTTTGTAATAGATATAATTCGCTTTTACGCGATTTGAACCGTTATACTTAACATTAATCCTATGTTTGAATCATCCCAGCCTGTTTCTTCCTCTGTTTTTTGACCATTATCCTTTTTAGAGACTTTGCAGATGTTAGCGCCGTTATTTCTTGAATCTCTGGCGGAGGAATTGTTACCACAGCTATAACACCAGAATCTTGTACAGGTTCTTGTGTTCTAGGAGGAATTTGACGAAAAGTAGATTTCGGATTAGACATAGTAAAAATTTAATAGCTATAACCTCACATAGACGTGTCTGTCTATTATAAAATCCGATCTGGGTGAACACCGATTTTTGGTGACTGACCGCTGATCGCATCAACAACCAATCATCTAAGGGCATATAATTATGTAATTAAGCATATGGGCCGATTTGTCTCACTTCAATTATGTCACCTGTAGGCTGTCGATCATTGTCACATTTATCACCATAGCTAAAGTCCGTTTATTGGTCAAATATCACGTGCGTGGTGATCAATAAATACGAACTTAAAAAAATTTCGTTAAAAGAATTTAAAAAGAAAAATTTTTATAATTTTAACCACACAAATTTCATAATAAATAGAATTATTTTATAAACCACTTGAAAACAACCATTATATCTGTTTTATAAAATAAAATTGTTCAAAATGAATTACAAAAAAATGAGAAATCACGAAAACTATAAATAAATATTATAATATGCTCAAAAATTATTATCCAAGCTTCCTATGATCCAATTTAAATAATTTTTAATGCTCTAAGAGGACAAACAAGACTCTTTCTAATAATACTAAAATTGTCTAAACTCTGCATATTTATCTATAGCTATAACCCTTTAAAGATATGGTATATAATCTCATTATGGTAGTAAATAAAATAACACAAAACATCCTATAAAACCTGTAATAAAATAAATAAGAATTAAAATTACAATAATAAAAAGATTTTTTTTAGAACCTTTCAATGCTATCTAAAAAATATATAGGAAACATATTAATTTTTATTTCTAATGTAATAAGAGTTATTTTTGCCATTTTACCAAATAACCTTTCTAATATTTAAATTAAATAATTTTACAATACCACTTGCCATTTTCAAAAAAATAAATTCCTTCCAAAAAAACCAATTCCAGACCAATTCCTGACAGGTTTTAACATTACGAAATTAAGTTTTGCAAGCATGCAAAGTCTTTGACAATTGGCTTAAAAGTGAAATCAAATTATACGTCATCATGCATTATTTGATATCATCACTATTTTCACTATTTTCGTATATTGACATGTTGATCAAATTTCACATTTATCACTTTTATTAATTAGTGATGTGAGATAAATCAGCCTATATAGTGATTTATTTCATTAGCCAATTATATTTGTATCCAAGATCTAATCAAATATAAATTCCTTTATGCTTGGAGTTTTTGGTAAAAAAAAATTTTTTTTTAAAAAAATTAAAAATGGTGATATATAAATAAAAGTATAATGACACAAAAGAGATGTTAAAATAAGTAACAGAAATGTTGAAAAAGACAATAGAGAAGTTGAACGAGTTAGAGAATAAATTGGAGAGAAAAGAATAGGGAAATGAAAAAGAATTGAAGGAATTATGAAAAGAGCAAAAGTGTAAATTGATAAAAGAAATGAAAGGTCTAAAAGAGTTAAAAAAGAAATAAGAAGATATATTATGTGAATTTATTAAAGGTAATGAACAAATCATATAAAAAATACTATTTTATTTATTCATTTATCTATATATTCGACTATATTATATTTTTGAAATTGTGATCTCTTTTTTTCATGTTAAAGCAGGTCCTTTCCAGCAAGATAGTTCACATAGTACAGTATCTCTAATTTAATAAATTTGAGTATCTATTAAATGATGTTTGAAAAATCCTCTAACAAATCTCATTTACTTATCGGCCAAAAATACATCACCTATTGTAAGACCTATTGTCAGTAAGTCAGCCTTAATAAATATTAGTTGATACTATAATAAACTGGTACTTTTACTTTTTTAATGCTTAAAAGATCACTTAAAAAGGTTTTATCTATTATCTTACAAAACATACTGATTGAAATTAAAACATCAAATAAGATAACAAAAATCTCAGAAAAAATGCCACTAAAAGAACATGATACTAATAAAGTATTGAAAATATTTAAAGTTAATATTACCAAATCTTTTGATCTATTCAATTCTAAGTCAAGTTTCAACTTTCTTGTTTATAATAAGAAGTGGGATACCACGCTTTAATATAATTATATTAGAGCGTGGTATTCCACTTAGACTAGGTTATAGTATTACGCTATAATCTAAATACTATGCTATAGTCTGAATATCGCGTTATAATCTAAATATTACACTATAATCTAAATACCACACTATAATCTAGATGTTACACTTAAATCTAAATATCACACTATAATCTAAATACCATGCTAAAATCTAATGACTATAACCTGATCACCACGCTTTAATCTGAATACATAACCTGGTTACCACTCTTTAATCTACCCTTTTTATTTTGATGTTA